CTCGACGTGGGTCGCGCACCTGCGGACGGAGTTGGCCGGGCCTGGAGGCTGCGGGAACACGCAGCTTCCCGCACAGCCCGGAACTCCCCGGCTCCTCCCTACCTTTCAAGCAACCGCAGCGCTCCGGGCCAGCGTGGCCCAGACTCCATTGTGGAACGTCGGAGGCGCGGGTGGGCGAGGTAAACGCATTTAGGGAAAAGCCTCGGCTCAGGAGGTTTGCAGAAAGAGGGCGCAGCACATGGGTGGTTGTAAATTCTGTCTACTTTGCGGGGAAAAGCAGGCGGTTTCGCACCACACACACACACACACACACACACACACACACACACCCGTAGGAAGGTGTGAAGTCCGCCCCTGGGGAATTACCACCACTTTAGTGAAAAGGAAATGCAACGCGTAGGAACACTCTTCAGGTCACCACCCCTGGCGTGCGTGTCCTGGGGGTCTGAAAGAGGAGAAAGTTCCCTCCAACTCTTCCAAATTGAGAAAAGCTGCGGAAAGAATGAGGCGGTTAGGGAGAGGGGACCACAGGCATCCCGGTAGCTGGAGCTCAGGACGGAGCACTAAAATGAAAGCACCCCTATAGAAGCCACCAGGGAAAACGTTTAAAAAAAAATAAAAATAAATCCTGAGCTCGTAGACGTTCTACTGCTTCCACGCTGTTTGTCAAATTTCCTTCGCAGCAGTTCAACACTGAAGGATATTAAACACCCTGGTCTGCCTTCCGAGCTCACTTTTTAACCTTTGCGAATTGGACATTGGAAAGGAGAAAAGATCTGCTCTCCCTGAATTATGTTTTACCCCAAAGGAACGAAAAATTCTATCCACCTCGGCATAAATGACATAGAATTATACCTTCATACACTAACATCTCGTAGCTTCTGCCTGCCCTCCCCACCCCCATCACTAGCTCACCTTTTGTCAGTGTTTCGTCTTATATTTTTGTCCACTTCCTTGCACGATTGAGATTATTTTAATTGCTCTCTGAGGTGGCACATCCAAAACCACTTTTTGGCGGAACACTTGAATTGTACAGCCTGTTGGCTGGAAGATCTGTGCCCCCAAAACGAGGACTTGCCAGGGGGCTGAGGCAAATCCTCTCCCCCGGCAAAGGGCTGGGAAGAAGGGCGCTTTGCTCAGGGTTGTTCAGCCAGATCTCCTCTGCAAAGAGGCTGTTTCAAATGAGTGTGTGTCACTCGGTCACCCCACTTCCAGAGGAGCTGAGGGCGCCTGCAGTTCCTCTCTCCCAGGACCAAACCTATAGAAGAACCTGAAAAATGTATCACTACGCTTCAAATTCGATGAAGGTTCCTGGCGACTAAACAATGAACTCTACTTTTTTTTATTTTTATGTTTTGGTTGGGAATGAAGATGTCCATGTTTTGAGACGCTAAAATAGTATGTTCCTAAATTTTGTAAATGGTCGTTCCTCACCCAATACCAGGCGTATTCTTTATTTACCAATGCGTTGCAGAAGCCCACCTCTTTAAGTCGCTTCACTGCTTAGGAAACGTACACTGGCTGATGAAAGCTTAGATATTGGAAGACGTGTCTCCTGGGATATTCCACCAGATGCCTTTCCAGTCATTAAGAAATTAGCCATTGTCACCTCAAAAGCAAACTGTTTAGACAACAGGTGAAAGCAAACAACACATGTAGTCAAAATTGACCCAAGAATATGTACAACACTGGTGTTTTAAATTGGGGGGGTGGAGAGGGCGCTATATGCTGAAGAATACAATCTAGAACTGATTGATTTTACCCTACGAACAAGACGGTTATGTTAAACGTGCTAAGATGTGGACGTGAACTCGGCGAGAGTTCCAAGTAAAACTACAACATGTCCTTCAGTTCCTCTGTGGGGTCTTCCAGAGGCAGAAGGCCAGTTGCTCAGTTTGTAACACTGTAAGGAAAAGTGGCAGAGGGAAGGAAAGGGGTGGGCGTTGCGTTTGTGTGTCGGTTTTGAACTGAGTCACCTTCGGCTCTCGCTGGGAAACCTCGGGCAAACCTGTGCCTTTAAGACTCAGTTGCTATCCAAACACAAGTAAACAGAGTGGACCATTCGCGGGCGCCGGGCGCGGAGGCGGAGCCTGGGAG